CACACACACACACACACACACACACACACACACACACACACACACACACACACTATCCCCTGCAGTCTCAGTAATAGTTTCACTTATGTAGTCAAGAAACACCACTCTAGGCACTGTGTAACTATATAGGCTCAAATCACCAACAACAACTCTAAAGATTAGAAGTGAGTGTATGTTAACAGGAGAGATTAGTTGTATAACTAAAATGTCAAACTGCCATTAGTGTGACGTTGCTGAACTGGTTCAAGCTTTGCTGTGGTGAGCGAGGGCAAGCACCAGTGGTGACCCCTCCTGTCTTCACAGAGAACAGATGTGGAATGATCGGCAAGTCCCGAGGAAGGGCTTCCAAAAATGCATTACTGCTAATATACAATAAAACGTACACAGTCTGAAAACGAATTATTATGCAAAGAACTAAGAGTCCCTAAAACCCATAAACCAACCAAGCCCCCCCAAGACATGCTAATTTATAAATCCTTATTTCTAGTGATTTGTTTATTAGAACCTTTGGCATCCCAATTAATGTTCTCAATAATTCTCAAAAGGGTTCAACTCCTTATTTTCTCTGTTCCCTGCTTACTTGCTCTCCTCCACATGTAAATTTACCACCAGGCAAACAACAACAAAAACCATAGATAACCTTTCTGCTGCTCATGCGAGAATCTCAGGCTGGGGTTGGCAGGTTCAGGCTAGAAAAGAATCAAAGATAGCTGAAATGTCTATCAGTTATTCCATTAGAGCGCGTGGCAGGATCCAAGTGGTCAGGGACTGGCTGAAAGCAGAGCTGTGCCCAGGGGGCAGGACAGAGTGGTCAGAGTGCGGCCAACTTGGCAGCACACACTGCGGAGGGAACCGCTGCTGGGAGTCATGTTAAAGATGAGCAGGAACGAACGTTTCCACGGGAAATGTTTTGCTTTTGCAAAGCACTGTTTAGGCTAAACCTAGCTTGTCCCTGGCCTCAGACACCGGCCGCGACTTCCCAACGAGGGCAGGCAGAGGTTCCAGGAGCTGAGGCAGGAAGTACTCACTTGACAGAGAGGGAGAAATCCCCAGGAGCGCTCTCACTCTCTCGGATGAGGAAGGCCCCGTCATGCCGCTGTTTGCTAAGCATTTCTTCAGCCTTTGCTCTGGGGATTTTGCCAAAAAACCACCTAAGGAAGGAAGACAAAGCAGTCAACATCTGCTTCCCTACAAAGCCATGGGGTATCCAGCTTCCAAAACGGGAGTAAGAGAACACTCCCTGCCGGAGGAAGGGCCCTTCTCCGCCCTCCAGTCTCAACATGCCCGCTACACTCTGCTCGGTCAGGTCCTCCCTTCACGGGAGTTTGTGTGAGTCCTCCAGGCAGTGTGACTCATCCAGCTTCACACAGGCCAAACTGTCGCAGAGGAAGACACTCAGAAACGGGCTCCCAGGCTACAGCCTGTGGGCTCCCGACTGACTCGCCCAGAAAACCACCTGGGAAAGCCCCCCCAGCAATCGAGCAGATGCAGGAGCTGCCCAGGAGAGAGTCCCCTCACAGAAGACACTCGGAAGGCTGCAGCTTGGCCACGGGCACAACCAGAGACCGAGGCATCCGCAAACACCTGACCTGGAAGGCAGGGCCACTCCATCTCCAGACCTCTTTCCCACAGGCAGCTTTCAGGAGCCACCGGGAACTTGTGACACTAGGCTTTTCACTTCAAGTTCCAGAAGCCCTGCTCCCAGTGCCAATCTACCTTGGCCAGAAGGAGGAGGCCATCCCTGACGGCCTAGGCAAGGTACCCAGGTCCCAGGAAAAGCATCACTTACTAGAATTGTTATGTACCTTCGAGTTGGAAACGACACACGCAAAACTGACCCTCCAGGGGGTTTTCAGAGGCAACAAAGCGCATGGCAGGAGGCTGCTCATCTTCTTCCCATGGAACAACTGGTGGATTAGAACCGTGTTCCTTTGGGTTGGCAGCTCCACTCTTTACTACTCAATACTCAACACCAGCACTCCCTACAATTAAATAACTGTTTCTCTTCCAAATGCTCTTGAGATTGAACTTGCTAATTTAGAAAAGCAAAAGCCTTACTTCTAGCCAAAAACTGCCTGTTTACTTTAGAATTCTTACATGGTAAGTGGCATGCATTAAGTGTGCCAACTGTAACATCAAAAATAAACAATAACAAATAAAATACACAGTGCATCAAAGCCAGAAGCCTCTCTTAGAAATCTGTTTCACTGATAAGCACTGCACTACCAGATGTTTCTAAAATAACACAAGACACTCAATTTCGAGCAGAAAGATGTGCATTGCAAGGAAAGGCTTTAAGTATTTCTAAATCAAATGAATTATGTCTTTCTTCTTCCTCACTTTGTTTACTTGAGTGCCAGGCTGCTGGCAAAAACTGCTGTCCATGACATCCTGCTGCCCCCCCGAGAAGGCCAGGGGGAGTCCTCAGGGCCTTGCCATCAGGAGAGGAGGCCAGGAGACTGGACAGCTGGCAGCATGGACCATCTCAGCAGCCTGCACGTTACTACCAAGTGCTTTCCAGTTCTTAACGTGCAGCAATGGAGGGGCTGTATGGACATGACTGGGGCAAGCAGTCAGCGTCTTCACTCAGCTCCTCCCATGGTGCACTGGGGTGGGCCCACAGCCCTTGTCTTTGCTCTCAGACAGGTAATCATTTTCCTTTCTTCTTCCCATTTATAAGGAAAAAGCAATATATAAGAAAATAACCACATGATGTGAAAACACAAAATTTCCCTCTAATCCCCCTGGTTCTGCTTCCCCAGCTGCCCTCATGGTACACCCCCCCCCCATCCAGGGCACAGGTTCCCATCCATCCTGTATCCTGAGGTGAAACATGGATTCCATTTTACATTCATTTTAATAAAGAACTGAAGTGGAGCTTAACACAAACTCACTGCTGGAAAGTCAAAGCTGCCTCTCCACTGGGTTTCGGAGGCTGTAAATCACTCGCACGAGGCTGCCCTTCATTCTTCCCTGGGTGAGCTGCTGGTGGATTTGAACTGCTGACAGCCTTGGCGTTTGGACTATGCCATCAAAGCTCCCAGGAGAACAGGTGATACACAGAGAAAGGATTTTTAACTGGGTTTTTCACAAAGCAAACCAAGTCATGCTGTGAGCACTCAGCTCAAGAAAAGGAGAATGTTTGGAGACCACGGTTATACAATCATAAAGGCTTTCACTGGATTGATTAGCTTCCTGTAACAAAGTCATCTGCATGTGACTGTGGCCTAAGAAGCCCTGGAGGCACAGAGGTTAAAGGGCAAAAGGCCGGCAGTTTGAACCCACTCCCTGTACTCCATATGAGAAAACCAAGGCGGTCTACCCAGGAGAAATGTGCAGAAGGCCCATGGGGGCGTTCACTCAGTCCTCCAGGGCTGCTGGTCAGGATGTGTGACGGTGGTAGATCATGTGACTCTGCTGCTGTCAGGGGCCGTCAAGTCCATAATGATTCACAGCGGCCCTCTGAACAGCCAACCTGAACTCTGTCCTACCCTGTCCAATCCTCACCAACCCTGACTCACTGGAGCCAACTGCGGAACTCAATGTACCAATCCATGTCGTTGGGGGTCTTCCTCTCCTTCGCTGACCCTCCACCTGTACAAGCATGACGTCCCTTTCCAAGGAATAGCCTCCCCTAGCTGCATGTCCAAAGCACCAACGACGCTTTGTCATCTTTGCCTTGAAGGAGCAATCTGGATGCACCTTTTCCAAAAGTTATCTGTCTGTTCTTTTGGCAGTCATTGGGGTAGGCAGTACTTTTCTACTAGGGCCAACATTTTTAAAATTCTGAAAAAATACCTGTTTAAACTACAAAGGAGAGATGGTGGATTTTCTAGTTTAACCTATTATTATATTCTGTAGCAATCTCTGGTGGCTTAGTGGTAAGGAGTTGCTCTGCTAATCCAAAGGCATGTGGTTCAAATCCACTAGCAGCTCTGGGCAACTGTGTCCTGTGTGGCTTATAGCCTCTGAAAACCAGGTGGGGGGAGGTTCAGCTATGAGTCATTTCCAGCTCAGCAGCACACACCACAGGCTTCCATCCCTTTACCATCTCAGGCCCAGCAAGCCATGACAAGGACACAGACTCTGTCCTTACGAAACTGTCCTGGAAGAGGCCACAAGGCTGTACCACCACAGCACAACACGGCAGACCTGCCTAAACTCAGGTTCCGAGTTTCTCGTCGCAGAGCTCAGTGCAGATGGACACCTTGTGCCCTGCAGGGAGAATCTGCAAACAACATCTGGGCCCAAGTAGATGCTTCCTCATCAACTGCTATTCCCAAGTTCCTTTTGAGAGGACGGACAAGGGGACAGAAAGGACCTGGAATATGACCACCCAAAGGGTACCAAGGGCAAAAACGGCAGTCTTCCAAGGAGGGTGGCCTTTCCAATCTCTCCCCAACAATCACATCCAAAACGTCTACAATATCCGAAATCATCTAAGAGGAACAAGCATTGAGGGCCACAGGAATTTTATTTAAGATGAAAACCACACCGCTACATCCTGCTGAATACTATCTCAGCTTGAAAAGGAGAGAACTTCAGTTGACTTTGTTCCACTGGTTCTACTGTGCTGCTGTTCGCAGGTGCCTTTGTGGCACTTCCGTCTCACAGACTCCATGCTGACAGAAGAGCTGCTTCGCAGGATGTTTGTTCCAGGCGGCAATCTTTCATGGGAGAAGCCGCAGTGGCAGGCACAGTCACTAAATGCTTGGTTGCTGACTGAAAGGAGTAATTCAAAGTTCGATCTTACCAGCCGCTCCATGGGAGAAACGTGGAGAAGGAGAGGCCTGCTTCTCTAAAGCTTCATGGCCTTGGGGACAAGACGTGGTAGTCCTACTCTGTACTTTAGGGTTGCAATAAGCTGCAACTGACTGCCTGTCCGTGGGTCTCTCTCGAGCAGCTGCCTGGTGGGTGTGAACTCCTGAACTTCCAGCTAGGAGCTGAGCTCCTGCATCCTAGGGCTCCTTCGACTACTGCAGAGCCTGGCAAACTATGGCCTTAATCTGAATTCACACCATTTTTACCTGACCAAGGGAGCTCTGGTGGCCTATCCCAAAGGCGCACCGTTCAAATCCATCAGCCACTCCACAGGAGAAAGATGGGTAATCTCTTCCTGTGTAATTAAAGTGCCTCTGAAAACCTGTCGGAGGGCCAGCAATGAATTGGTTCTGACTCGACGGTACACAACAGCAACAACTATAATTTAAGATGTAGTTTTAAAGTTTAAGGAGTTTGTTTGGTTTATATTTTAAGAGTTTTTGTTTTGTTTTGTTTTTTTTTTTTTAAAATGAACATGACGTGGCAGTGACCCTAAGTGGCCCAGAATGCTTAAAATATTATCTGGGTATTTACAAAAAAAGTTTACCCAACTCCTGGCCAAGGGTTTTATGCTGAGGAAGGACTGAAGGAAATGGACATGGACAAATTATTGGCGGAGAGGGAGAGAGAGCGAGCGTGAGCGTGCATGCGTACTCAGCGATCCAATCAGGCCTGCCTAGCCCAGTGACCAGGCGCCAGTGGTCCTCTTGGAAGAGCACCTTCCCAGATGCTGTAAGATAAAATCCCCATTCCCAGCAGCGCCAGCACAGTGACCTGAGATGACTAGGGACACAAGCCATGCTCACTGTGCTGCAGTGACAGGAATCAGAGATCACCTGCTCCTGTGGTTCTTGGCATCACCTGTGCCTGCATTCCTGCAGCCTGGCTATGGCTGGGTGGGGCAGGATGCCTAATCTTGGATCACAACAGCCTCTACTGAGGAATCAGCTCTTCACTCACAAGGTCCCAGAGTCTCTCCTGCACTTGTCTTGGAAGAGTTAATGTGGTTGGTTTTTTTTATCATCATGAATAATTTTGTCTAGATCTTATTACAAAAATACGAGCCTGAATATTAATTAAAGGAACAACCAAGTTGTCATGTGCTCAAATGACGATGGGATGCAGAAGCCGGGCTCCCGGGGCACTGTGAACAAGCACACACCTGGCTGTTAATGGAAGGTTGAGTTCACATCTATCCAGAGGCGTCTTGGGGAAACAAGGCCTGGTAAAAGGAGTTGGTATCAACACGATGACAACTGGTTGCTGATTATAGCAGCATTAACACAAAATCTCCAGGGAACCAGAAAGTGTTTAAGAGAGGAAGGGTAGGACTTGGGGAGGGGACAAGAATTAGACTCACACATACTTAGGTGAGACAGTACAAACTGTAGACAAAAACTAGGGGAAAAAAAATCCTACAAATCAGACTGGTCTTCACCTTAAAAACCATTTATGGAAATATTTCCTGGGCTACTAGGAGGTGCCTGGTTCCGCTGAAGGTAAAAAGGCTTCCCCTGGCTTTGCGAGGCTTCTCTATGGTGTCATCTAAGTGCAGGCTAACCTGGGGCTTTCCCTCTCCAGCTTCAGGCTTCCTGGCTACTATCTGAAAGAGCTGCAGGTTAGCGCTCGGGAACTTTATTACACAATCATCTGACCACAAAATATAACTTCCCAGCATCTGGCAGTTTTGCCACCATTTAAGAAGTGCTCCCTGAGAGTTTATTTCAAGTGCCTTCTGAAATGCTGAAGAACACAGATGCCACGTTACAGAGTAAGGCAGCCCTGGCCTGGGCCGTGGGATCTGCAATAACCAAAGAACCGAAGACGCACGTCAGAGCGTGACAGGTAGTAAGGAGACTGAGGGTGATTTCCATCGTGGCTGGAGAGGAGTTCAGAACATTTCCTCACAGAATGACAGAAGGGCAGCCAGAATGTTCTCCAACAAGTTCTTCATCTTTTATACTGGGACTTGTTATTGATGGAGACCAATCTTAGGACATACTTGGTAGAGGGTCAGCGAAAGGTAGATCCTTAATGAGATGAAATGACCCAGGGATAAAAACGGGCTCAAGCACAGCAGAGGGGGTGCAGCACTGTGGTGAAGGGTCACCAGAAGATGGGATTAGCTTGATGGGCTTAGACTGCTTTTGGGGTGACAGAGGGTGGGGGGGGGAGTTAGAGGAATATGGCATAGGCTTTTGGTCTGAGGAGGACAGGCCCTTAGTTCCTATGTGTAATTCTGAAATTCACAAAGCTCTGAAAATGGTAAGCTTTCTCATAGATCATTCAGGGGCAAAATGGGCTCTGATGTGAGGTTATTTTGTGTCTAAGGTCCCATTTGACAGTGATCTTGAGACAGCTGGCTGCTGAGATGCCCTTCCTGTGAGCACAGGCTGTCACCAGAACCTGCGAGGTTTGCTGCACATGCGGCAATGGCATCCTTGTCTCTTTCTACAACTAAAACAACTGCGAGACACGGGCAATTCCAAAGACGTCCTGAAAGTCAGACACCTGGGTGACCACCTTTTATTATTTGAAGACTGTGAACAGTATCTCTGATCTAAAATATACATTATGATTAACATACAGAGGGAGCTCTGGTGGCCTAGTGGTAAGAAGCCGCGCTGCAATTCCAAAGGTATGCAGTTCAAATACACCAGCTGCTCCTCAGGAGAAGTTCAGCAATGTTCTCCTGTGCCCTTTTCTGCCTCTGAAAATCCACTGGAGGGTCAGCTATGAGTCAGTTCCAACTTGACAACAAACAACATTAACATGCAAAACCAAATGTGTTGTTTATTCTCTGGGAAGACAGGATTAAAGTAGGACATCCATCCCAATGACCTCAATTTCTTAAAAAAAACCCAACACAACAAATAGGCAGGGATGGACCCCTGGGAGCTACCACTGCTCAACTTACGGGTGAGGTTTCATTTCAATGTAATTCTTGGGAATGAAGCCGTCCTTCCCATTAAGCTCTGCCTTGTACCAGTTCTGATCACATTCTTCATTCAAGACCTGAAAAAGAAAAGGAAAAATGTCTTTTTCACTTTTACGAGGACGGAAACGAAGATAACTAGACTGTGTTTTTTTAAGTTTGTCTGTAAAAGGCGTGATTGGGCCCTGCAGTTACCTGGCTGTAAAATTTCTTGCATCATCAAACCACCACAATGACGATGTTGAACTCTGCAGAGAAAAAGCAACACCTAAACCCTCTACTCCGTCAGAAAATGAGGAAGAGGATGAGGTCAGAGTTTGACGAGAACCAGAAAAGACGAAAGAACTCTGCTTGTGGGCAGAGACCTGAAGGCTGAAGGGCAGCGCTTTCAGGCTTTTCCAGAGACCTCCAAGCCAGTGCCCAAATCCAGAGGTAACCGACTCCTGAAACACACACTGATCCAATCGTGGGTTGCCTAAGCCTTGTCCAGGTCACAAGTCAGCCACTCAGCTGTGCGACACTCCTGTGTAGTGTACACCATGGCCTTGGCTGGGAAGTCACGCTCATGACAGGACACAAGTTCTACTCACCTCGTTACCCTCATTACCCCACAGGCCACATACCCAGCACAATTCAGTCAGAGAACGTGGGGGCCACATGACTGGATCGTTCCATTCTAAAGATGTGAAAACTGGTTTAGATAAGTGGAAGGGTTTACTTCCCAAAGTCTCAAACCTCACAGTGCTAAGAATCACACTAGACTTTCAGATCCTAAATGAGAGTCCTCTCTCCTCACCACCCCACAACAGCTTCCGGTGTTAGTAACAGCTGCAGCCCGGTTAGCACACTGCACTGTGTACAGTCATCTGAAGAGTGTACCGTGTACTGTGCACAGCCGGCCGAGAAGTGGGGAAGGAGGCACACTGTGAAAAGCCTCCAGGGAGTCCAAAAGGCCAAAGGGCAAGGAGGGAGAAAATGGAACAGGGCTCGTACAGTGTCACAAAATCCTACAAGGAGTTTGGGTTAAAAGGCTTCAAGACGATCCCCCAGATCCTGTGGTCACAGCTCAGTGAGGACAGGGCACCTGCAGCACGTGATGCTCGAAGGCTGCCATTTTCAAGTGAGAGGCCCCAGCAGAGAGGGGACTGGACGCTCAGCAAAGAGCAGCCGGCAGGAGCGATGATGCAGGCAGCTCCTTCTGAGCAGAGGCTGCGCCCTGGATGCTGTGCTGGGATGCTTCCGTGATGCTGGGCAACCTCTGGCCTACTGGCTGCAGCTGCTTGTTCAGTGTGTGAGGCAAAACAAGGCAGATTCTGTAAGACTATGAAACATGAATGCTATGGTTTTTATAAATCAGCTCCTGTTATGCCTAGTAGACCCAAATTCCCCCTTAAGAGTCACACTGATAGTTGAGTGATAAAAATTGGTATTTTTCCCTTTATCTAAAATCACTGTTCCAAGGGATGTTTGCAGCAGTTTCTCCTCATTTTGAATGACCTCCAATATGGGCTCTACCTCTAAACACTATAGCTAGCTGTGCTTCTCCACTGCAGTTTCACAAGGGGATGGCCTATCCAGTTTGGACATGTTACCAGGAGAGGCTATTCACCGGAAAGGGAAGGTACAGGGACAGCGAAAGATAAGACGACCCTCAATCACGTGACTGACAGTGACTACAGCAAGGGGCTCAGGTGTGTCAGGGAGGGTAAAGATGGCACAGGACAGAACAGGGTTCAGATCTGCTGTTACAGGGTCACCATGCGCTGTCCTCAATGGCATCTAATGACAACAAAAATCACCGTATGTCACCAATACCAGGATAATACAAAATAATAAACACACCAAATACATTTGTCACTTAAAAAAAAAATTAAAAATACGAACTGTGCTATGGCCAAAAGAGGTGCTCCGCTGTCAGACATTAACAGTGGAGCTTTGGGGAGACAGCACTTGCTCACAGTGCTTGGCCCCGTGAGGGTACTACTCTACAACCACCACCTGCAACATGGTCACCACAGCTTCAGGAAGGAGCCCTTGTCACCAGCATGAAACAGGACGGTCAATGGCATAAGAGGGAAAGTGCCATTTAGAGGCTGCTCAAGTTAGGCTTCTGTTCTATTAAACACGTAGGCTTGAAGGAAAATGTGGCCAAAAAAATGACTTTATAAGTACCGCATTCTTACAGTAATTATTATTCAAATAAAAAAAAAATCCCCCCAACAAGCAAAATCTTGTAAAGGCTTATGTAAAAGAGGCTCAAAAAATAATTCTTAAAAATCTTAAAATTCCAACAAAAATTCTTAAATGATAAGATATATATGAAGCCAAACTTTCTGCTGTGTGTGGTCTCTGACTTGGTGCTGCAGTCGGACCAACACTGTAGAACTGCTCCCCAGGGCCCTGAAGCTTCACGGAAGCAGAGTTCCTCTTTTTCTCCCATGGAGCTGCTGGTGGGTTTGAACCGCTGGCCATTCTGTTAGCTGCTGGGTCCTTAACACGATGCCGTCAAGGCTCCTTGGTGAGGTATATTCCGACTCAAAAGATTTCCAGGAAGACAGGCTGACAAGGAGGTCTAAGACTCAAGGCAGAATAAAATAACCACTCACAATGGGTCAGCTCTGATTTATGACTAAAGAGTAGTCACGCTGTATGTTTTTATTTTTACGGAGATAAAAGTCAATTTCTCATAAATAGTAAAAAAAAAATAATTTCTCCCTAAAAGCATCACCCTTAGAAGAAATTTAGGCCAATTCTCAAATCTGGCACTAATCCAGATTACTTTTACCATTACTTTCTACAGAGAAAGTATTACATGGTCAGAACGCAGATCTCCAAAAGCCAGGGAATCAGAAACGTCTTTTGTCAAGGACTTTTTTTTTTTAAGCACATAAGGGTGGTGGTGGGGGGGTTATCTGAAAATTCTAGTACCCAGACTCTCCTTTATTTATTTATTTTTTTAATTTTTATTATTATTTGTGTACCGTCAAATCGGATCTGACTGGTACAGGAGGAGACTGCCCCTCCTTCTCCAGCAGAGCCTCTGGTGGACCCAGACTCTCCTTTCCCAGACAGCCGATGTGCTCCTGTGGGTGGCCTGCACTCCTCCGCTCTAGGATTTAAAAAGCTGATTCTGCTGGAGAAGATGCAGGACCTCCAGGGTCCTCTAGCCAGCACATCAGCAAATCCAGGTCCAGAGGCTGTGGTGACATAATTTAAAAGATGCTTACAAATGAAATTTTATTCAAGTGTTTTAATCTACAAAACTGCAATGGACACAAATTAGTATCTGTCTAAAGGCAAGTAGAGCAGGAGACCAAAATCCTCATTTCTCCCTTTAGATTGTTGTTGCTGTGAATATCCACAGCAGAACAAACACCAATCCATTTTCAATCCTCCTTTTCAGAGCTGTTCTTCCCTCATTAACATAGACTCAGTGCTTCCAAAGTTCCTGTCTAATTTTAAGAGTTGCTGTTACCAATTTGATCCAGTATAGGAATATCCTGAATAAGAATAATGCTCAAAGCAGAGCTTTTTAATTACGCTAAACTATGATTTGGTTTTAAGATTTCAGGGTTTATTTTTTATTTTAAGTTTAAAGATCATTTCAGGGCAACAGTTTACGGGATACATCTAACCTCCACAGCTCCTGGATGTCTTGATTCCACAAAAAATTGAAATTCTGTTCTCCATCTGCCTTCCTTTTAATCAGGATCATTTGAGAGAGTCTTTGCAAATGTTCAGTTACGGTGGCTGGGCACCATCCAGTTAAAAATATAGTTTAAAAAGTCTGACCAGAGTTCTGGGAAAGAGGAAGTTGTTTCTGTCACCATTTTACCACACCACTGAGAGCCTGTCATTCCCATTACCCCTAGAAGACAGATAAGTACAAGAAGTACATTTAATGATATAAAAAAAAAAATCAACCCAACACACAAGAAATGTTCTGAGCTTCTACCTCAAAGCTGCATCTTCTCTAATCCCTCTAGTTACAATTTTGTAGTCACACAAAACACTTTGGTTTAACGGAAGCTGCTTGATCAAGAGATGAGATTATGAAAGGAGGAAGAGGTAAGTTTCAGTAACGGGCTTTCTGGTGGGGGTGGCAGGAGAGACAGGACTGACAATAACGTGAAAGTTTCAATCAGGAAGAGATTTGTAGATGAAGATCAATGTGAGGCCAACCCAAGAGAATTCAAAATGGCAATCAGTGGCAGGAGACACAACTGGGGCTTTGAGGAGAAGTCCTTGACCTGGTTTTGTTAAGAGTGTGTTATGTTTTGATGCATGAACTTCTTGATGTGTGTGTATGCTTCAATCACAAGTTCAAAACATTTCCGTCAAAAGGGTATGTTAACATCATGGCCAAATTCACACATAAGAAAAGCACATCAAGGTTCCCTAACACAGGTTTAAGCTTTTCACACCAAGAAATACAAAAGGAAGCAGAGAGAAACAGCAAAGCTTATCACTGCTACTTTGAGAAGACAACTCCCAAAAGCAAGAAACTCAGAGCAAGTAAGTTCTACTTTCTACATTATGTGATTCTGATAATGGTTCCCCACAATCTATGACCCCTCTCCAAAGGTTACATTAGATTTTCACGTCAATCAATATCAATTTGGAAACTTTCCTTTTTTGAAGGAGAAGAGGTAAACGTTTTAGGTCCCTCATATCTGAGAGTAGCTGAACCCATGGCAACACAGGATAAAAAAAGAGTTTGAACACAAGAGACTAAATTCCAGTTAAAAAAAAATTAACTGTGTGTCTTTCGGCAAATTACCATTCTTTAAATTTTAGCCTCCTCAACTCCTTTGAGTCAATGATGGAGTAAATGAGAAAACATAAATGTTACTAGTGTATTCTCATTGTATTGCTGTGTACATCTACTCAGAACCAACCCAGAGCTGAACCTCCAACGGGTTGTTGTTGTTGTTAGGTGCCGTTGAGTCGTGTGCCACTCACAGCGACCCTATGTACAAACAGCCCTAAACTCCGCTCTGTCCTGTGCCAATCGCACTATCTCTGACACTCCCATTCTGATTACCCCAGTCACTGAATCAATCCACCTCACAGAAGGCCT